AAGGAACAGACCAAGGCCCCCAAAACAGCAGAAGAAGTGAAATCACAACAAAGATTCAAAGTTAGAATAAAATTGAAACTTGAAAATAGGAAGTATTTCAGGAATAACAAAAAAACAAAAGTTGGTTCTTTGAAAAAATAAAAAAAAGAATTGGAACCCACCCCACTGGGCCTAAAAAAAGTAAAACGAAACCCAGAAAAAGAGGAAAATCCTTAATTATTCTCCATTTTCCAGGAAACCCAAAAAAAGGAGTGAATCACCAACTTGATCCCAAAGAAGAATTAAAAACCAAGATTTATAATTTATGGATTACTAACAAAATCTTTATTCACCCACAATTGGGGAAGGGATGGGAGTGAAAATGGACAAAATTCTAGAAAAAACAAATCATTAAGCTTTCCTAGGCTTTCAATGGAGGGAAGAAATAGGTGATTTCCTTGGGAAACAAGGGAAACCCCAAGTTCTTCAAAACTGCTGAAAAATAGAAAACAGCAATTTAAAAAATCTCCCTAAAAAAAAAAAAAATTCCCTGGTCCAGATGGCTTCCCACACCTGTTATTTTACCACAAACACAAAAAGGGAAGAATAGGTTTTAACCCTATCCTGCAGGAAAACTTATTCCAAACCAAACATCGAGAAAGGACCGAAAACCTCCCCGGGAACAACCTTTTATGGAGCGAAATATTTACCTGATTACAAGACAAGAAAGACCCGGCAACAAAAAAAAGAAAGTAAGCTAACAGGGGACAATATCCCCTAATTGAATATAGATGGCAAAAATTTTTCAAAAAAATCCTTAAAGCTAAAACCGAATCCAGGACGTATTTAAAAAAATAAATTTCCCCATCCACGGACCAAGTGGGCTTCATCCCCCAGGGATGGCAGGGATGTTCAACACATACCGTTAAACTTCTTATAAATGCAAATTCAACCACATAAAAACAGAAGCAAAAAACAAAAGACCAACCATGATTCTTTCAATAAGATGAGGGGGAAAAAAAGCTTTTTGAAAACAAAAAATTCAAAACCCTTTTCATGATAACGGAAAACACTTAAAAAAAAATAGCATAAGGGAAGACATACTAATGATAACAAGGCCATAATATGGGACCAGGACCATAGCAACATTATAACTTGAATGGGAAAAACTGGAAAAAAGCATTTCCACTTAGAAACTGGAAAACCAAGAACCAGGCTTGCCCCACCTAATTCTCACTTCTATTTTTCAACATAGTGCTGGAAAGTCCTGGTTTACAGGGGCAATCAGACAGGAAAAGTGGAATTTAAAGGGGTATCCAAAATAAGGGCAGAAGAGGATCCAAACTTTCAACTTGTTTTGGCTGATGATATGATTATTATATTTAGGGAAACAAAGAGTCCAACCCAGAAAACTTCCCTGGGAACTGATCAAATGGGGAATTTAGTAAAAGTCTTTTCAGAACAAAAAATTCATAACACGAATTCAAAGAGGGCCATTCGGTATACCGCCACAAACCAATCAAAATTGGGACAAATTAAAAAAAACTTCAATTTTTACCCTTCACCAATTAGCAACAGAAATTTAAAATACCTAGAAGTATACTTAAAAAAACAGAGGAGGTAAAAAGATTCTTTTACAGGGAGAACTATTGGAAACCACTGGAGGAAAGAAAAAGCAGAGGATTGTTAAAAACAAAGATGGAAATCCATTCCCAATGGTCATGGATCGGGCCAACTCAAAAATCATTAAAATGGTCTATTACTTATCCCGAAACTGAATCTTTACAGATTTCAAATGCAATTTAACCTATTAAATCCCAAATCCAGCCATTTCTTTCACAAGATTATAGAAAAAATAATTTTTTACGCTTTGTTTTGGGGAACAAAAGGGGAAAACCCCCGAAATATCAAGAGAATTTTCTAGGCAAACAAAAAAAAAAATGGGAGGGTATTTAATATGCCCGATCCAACTATTACTTTACAAAGCTGTAAAGTTAATTAAAAACAATCTTTGTATTGGGCAAAAAAATAGAATATTGATTCAGTGGGAAAAAAACAGCCTCTTGGAAAAATCCTGATATAAAAAACCATCTCCATATACAGGCATTCTTAATCTTGGACCAAGCAGACAAAAACATACGCTGGGGAAAAAAGGAATCCTTCAATAAATGGTGCTGGAAAAACTGGATAGCAACTTGGTAAGGGAAGGGCTAAGCAGGGGAAACCAACCACCTTTCAACCTCTCACAAAAATTCAAAAACTCACACTGGATAAAGGACTTAAAACCTAAAGGGTATGAAACTATTTAGAAATTCTAAGAGGAAAATTGTTGGAAAAAACCCTTTTCTAAGAACATCGGGCTAAGCCCAAAGAGTTTATGGGGAAGAAAGTCCCAAAGGCAATCGCAGGCAAGGCAAAACAAAATAAATAAAATGGGACATGATTTCAAAACTACCCAAAAGATTTTCTTGGCACAAAAGCCAAGGGAAAAATAGTCATGAAATAAAACCAGAACTACAGAAATGGGAAAGAAAATTTTTGGGCAATCCTACGTATTCGGATTAAAGGGGCTGATAAACTAAAATATACTTAAGGAAACTCCGGGGGAAATCAGGCAGAAAAATTCAAATTTTAACCCTATTAAAAGTGCAAAAACTTGAAAAGGAAAAACTTTCTTAAAAAAGGAGACAAGAAGAATGGCCAACCAAACATATGAAAAATTGCTGCATTCATCTCTAATCATCCAGGGGAAATGCCAAAATTTCAAAACCAAATAGTATACTTAACTTCCAAGTGAATGGCCTTTATTCAAAGGTCTCCAAATAACAAAAATGGCTGGCATGGATGCGGAGAGAAGAGGAAAAACACTTACAAACTGTGGGTGGGGGACTGCAAACCCAGTAACCTTTGTGGAAATGCATTATGGAGATACCTTAAAGCGATACAAAAGTGAATTCTACGTTGAATTCCAAAAGCAAAATCCCATTGCTTGGGGCATTCTACCCCAAAAAGATCCCAATGACCACTCTAACAAAAGAACCACTGGCACTGAATTTTATAAGGCAGGGACAATTCATTAATAGCAGGGCTGTGGGAAAACAGCCCCAAGGGGCCATCAATACCCAAGGAATGGATTAATTCAAAATGTCGTAATATGTTATAACCATGAGTACATTTCAAAGCTCTTAAAAGAAAAACAATTGGTGATATACAGCACATCTATTATTTTCCCTGGTTAGGAAGCTGGAAAAACCATACTTTTTTTACTAATTGGAAAGTATCTTGAAGGAATGAAAAACAAAGCCACCCCAATTTTATATTTCTCCAGCAAACTTGGTATTAACTTGAGTTAGCACCTAAAGTGGGACAATAAGTACTACAGTAATAAGCGTATTGGCAGGGTGGGAGGGAGGGGTGGGGGGGCGGGTATTATATATATATTTGATAATGAGTGAGGATGTTTGCACCATCTGGGGATGGTGCATGATGGGAAACCTCAGGGACTTGTTGGGGGAGGGGATTTTATTGAACCTTAAAATCTGTTTTTCCCCCATTTAATATGCTGAAAATAACAAATATTATATACTATATATATTATAATAATATATATATATATATATAGTATATAATATATAGGAAGAGAGAGAGAGGAGAGGGGAGAGCAGGAGAGACGAGATGAGAGAGAGGAAACAAATTAAGCCCGGGGGCATGGGTGCGCATTGCCTGTAGTCCAGCTACTTTCAGAGGCTTCTGAGGGCAGGGGGAATCGCTTGGAGGCCAGGAGTTGAGGTTGCTTGGTGGCCCCAGGGGTGAGGAAGCTTGCCACCCCGGCTTCTGAGACTGTGGTGAACAGGGAAGCAAGGCTCTGGTGTCCGCAGCAGCTTCTCTAGGCTTTGCCTTCCCTCAAAACTAATACGCCGGGTGATTTTTCATTCACAAGATGCTGACTAATTTGTTAAGCAGAGAGAAAAAGGAAAAAGGATTCCACCCTGGTGTGCCCTTTTGGTTCCCCCATTATTAACTTACTCTTTGCCCTTTATTTAAGTGTGCGGGTGCCTCAGCGCCTCAGATCATTGTGTCCACCTCAAAGGGATTCCCATTTCTTCTATCGTGAAAATGTCTTCAAACATAAGAAGAGGCTTCGAATCCTGGGCATTCAAAAAATGATAGGAGTCCTAAAACCAGATCCAATTACCAATATGATATCCAAGACCTCACCTGAGTCACTGTGGGTGCTTCCTGAAGCTAGTGATAAAACTGTACACCTGGGGCATGTGAGCAGTTGTTCACTGGTGACTCTAATCCTCACTTGTGATGTGTTTTTGTCTGTTACTGTGGGTTTTTTTTTGAGACAGAGTCTCAAAACTGAGGTGACCTCTGTCACCCTAGATAGAGTGCAGTGGTGTCATCATAGCTCACTGGAACCTCACACTCCTGGGCTCAAGAGATCCTCCTGCCTCAACCCCCTGAGTAGCTGGGACTACAGGCATGCGCCACTGCACCCGGATAATTTTTCTATTTTTAGTAGAGACAGTGTCTTTCTCTTGCTCAGGCTGGTCTCAAACTCCTGAGCACAAGCATTGTTCCAGCCTTGGCCTCCTAGAGTGCTAGGACTACAGGTGTGAGCCACCGTGCCTGGCTTGCTACTGCATTTTATGGTCTTTTGGCAAAAATGGTATTGTATCATTAAAATATGTTACTTGCAAAAACATCATGTTTGGGAAGATGGGGGGAATCAGGTGTTCAATGAGCAGCTAGGGACTGAATGCATGGATGTGTGTCCCTGACCCCTCTCCGGTCCAGGACAGGGTGGCCATGCTGTGCCTCAGCCAAGGGTTGGCACAGGCGGGCAGTCAGGAAACGGCCAATGACTGGATTCTTACCAACTGACCTGTCCGCCACTCCAAGTCTCCACCAGGCAGGCAATGGGTGAATAAATGACAAATTTAATTAGTGAATTATTTTTTGTGGGGAGGAGACATGACGTTTCAAGGAAATAACTAGTTTCTCAGAGACCAGGATCATTTCACAAGTATTTATTAATCACAGGGACATCAGCGGGCTCAGCCCAGGGAAGTAATCGCCAACAAGGACTTTCTGGAAGCCAGGGGCCCACCTCCAGGCCCTGCCGCGCCTCTGGCAGGAATCTGGATCTCTGGGGTATCATTCGCATCCTGCCTGGAAGAACCTGTGACAGGCACATGTGAGCGCAGCTACAAACATCATGAACTCACTGAAGTCCACCTCGGCATCTCCGTTGGCATCCAAGTCCTTGAGCATTTTGTCCACGGCATCCTTGTCCTTCCCGGTCTAGAGGAGGGACAGGCCTGGGGTCAGGAGTGGCTGCACCTGGGCAGGCCCTTGGCTTCAGCCAAGCACCCCTGTGGGGCAGAGGGAAGGCACCCAGCTTTGTTTGCTGTCGGTCCCTCAGGCTCAGTGCTAGGGCTGGCTGTGCGTACCAGACACGCGGTGTCCCTGGAAAGAACTCAAGGGCTTAAGAAGGGAGCTGTCCTAAGCTATGTGGCATGACAAGAAATAACTTGTAATGTTTTTAGGGCAAATTTCAATTGTTTTGTGCAATGCAGGGGGGAGTTTTATTTTCTTAATATTTTTTGAAGGGGATAGGCTTTGGATTTATAATGTGCTTTAAAATGGAGGCTATTCCCAGGAAAGACGTGCACCCAATCCTCTATTCTGTGTGCATGGAGCTGGCTGCTTCGCACAGCCTGTGACCTCACAACCGCCAGGCAAGGAGGATGCATCGCTGCGTCACAGATGGAGACAATAACCTCCGAGGGCCCAAGCGACCCGGCTTGAGGTCACATGGGGAGAGGGAAAGCTGGGTTGAGACCCACGTGTGGAGGGCCCGCAGAGGCCCTGTCCTCCTCTCCGCTCAAGGACCCTGGCTAGGGGCCAAGGTCACAGGTCTTCTTTGACAGGGCCAGGCCGGCAGGGGTCTCTGAGAGCCTGCTCATGTGGCAGTTGGCAGCTGCATGGTCCTCAGCAAGGGACCAAGCACAACCAGTTTGCAGAGCTGAGCATCAGCAGCAGGGGGTGCTGGCGACCCAGCCCTGGCCGGAGAGCTGCATGTCGGGTGGAGAAAAGAGTTAAATTGGTTGGAAACGATTATCTCACAGAGAGAGCCCCGTTCATTACAGCATAATTTTAATAACAAAAGTAAGGGGAAAGTATGACTTCAGTAGTAAACAAAGAGTGAGCGGCAGGTCTGGTCGGAATACCAGTGCCATTCCAAGTGATCTCATGAAGTCTGTGGCCACGTGGTCACATAGTATTTATGAAGCCCCAAGTGTGCCAGGCGCTGGGCTGGGCATCCAGAAACAGGTCTCGAGGCCAGCCCAGTCCCTGCCCTCAGGCAGACATTGTTCTCTGACTGTCCTCATCTGGAGCAAGGGCTGCTGGGGTGCAGACACTTGGGCCTTCTGCTTACTCAGCCCCCTGGAGACGCTGATGTAACCCAAGTTAGGGAAAGCCTGGCTTAGCCACCATTCCCAAAGTGTGTTCCCTGGACACCTGCCCCCGCCCCTCCCCATGGGAACATCTTGGGCCAAAATCCCCTGGGGTTAAATTCTCAAACTTTGATCTTTGATCGTTATCAGAACACCCCATGCCCCAGGCACAAGTTCCCAACATGGAGTGTGTGTTCAATGAGTGTCAGAGTTTGAGAAAGAAGTTAAATTGCATATAAATTAGGATTTCACATCACTTTTGCATGGGGAAGAAGCTGGGAAGGAGAGGGAGAGTCCAGGGAGAATTTCTTCCCTCCATGTTTCTATATTTTCACATTTTCTACCACAAATAGAACCTTATTTTATTTTATTTTGTTTTATTTTATTTTATATTTTTTTGAGACAGAGTCTCACTTTGTTGCCCAGGCTAGAGTGAGTGCCATGGCGTCAGCCTGGCTCACAGCAACCTCAAACTCCTGGGCTCAAGCAATCCTCCTGCCTCAGCCTCCCAAGTAGCTGGGACTACAGGCATGCACCACCATGCCCGGCTAATTTTTTTCTAGATATATATCTTAGTTGGCCAATTAATTTCTTTCTATTTATAGTAGAGACGGGGTCTCGCTCTTGCTCAGGTTGGTTTCGAACTCCTGAGCTCAAAGGATCCGCCCGCCTCGGCCTCCCAGAGAGCTAGGATTACAGGCGTGAGCCACCGCGCCTGGCCTAGAACCTTATTTTAAAAAGATGTCTTCACTGCATTCATATTTAGAAAATAGAAACACAACATGCAAAAGTGCTTAGTGTCTTTGAGGTGATGCTCAAATTTCCAGTGGTGAGCGCCAGTATAGGTAGAGCCCTCAGAGGATGGTGGCAGACTGGGGGGCCAAGTGAGGAGGAGAGGGAAGGTAAGGGGAAGGAGGGAGAGGTGACACAGAGAAGGGAGGCAGGGAGCAAGCAGTAGAGGCCTAGGCCACCGGGTCAGGCCTTGAGGGCCCTTCTCTGAGGCTGCTGCCCAATGCAGGAGCCCACGGGAGGCTGCAGCTCTGGGTGGACAGGCGCCAGGCTGGGGCCTCCTCCTCTCCTCATTCCTAATCAGTCCCACCAATACCAGGCAACAAGGCCTGGGACTGGGAGGAAGGCAGGCAAACAGGTAGGTCATGGAACCAGGGGTATTGTGGCCAGCAGCCCGGGACAGGGACAGCAGCAAGGGCCCAGCACACGGCCCTGCATTCCGTTCTGTCCCCACTCACCACTCAGGATCGAGTTCCACTCTCCCACTCGGGCCCTGCGGGCAGAGAATCCCGGCCACACGCACACCAGGCCACTCCCATGCTTCAGGATCAACCTGACCACACCCTGTGCTGCTCAGAGGGCTCAGGTGTCCCCTCCTTGGGGTGGCAGGCATATGTTGGCCAGGCTGCGAGGGCCATGCAGGGTCTGCCCTGTCCCCCCAGTGGCTGTCCCTCTGCCTTCCTCATGTCCCTGCCGGCCTGGCCTGGCGCTCACCTCCAGGAAGCCAGGGAGCTCCTTCTCCATCAGCGCCCTCAGCTCCCCCTTGGTCAGGGTCTGCGCGCTGCCCTCGCCGCCTGCGTACCGGGCGAAGACATCGATGATCATGCCTATGGCCATCTCCAGTTCCGCCATGGTGCCGGACGTGGCCCACCTTCCTCCCGGGCTGCTGTGGCTAAGGAAATGTCCCGCCGGAGGCCTCTGGGTGCTTTATGAGGCCGGCCTCATGTTGACATAGAGGGAGGGACAAACAGGGATGGAACCGAGAACAAACCCTGCCCCTCCCACACTGCAACACCCGGTCGTGATGAAATGGCTTGTTGTGACTTCCTCCCTGGAACCTTTCCTCCGGCCAGGCCAGGCCCAGCGCATGGGCCGCCTCGGGCCACCCTAACTTTGCTGTGCTTACCTGTATCTGAGGCTCATCACTGAGTCATAGTGGTGTCACCATCCCTGGCCCCCTGGGAAAGTGGGCACCCGGGGAGCAGGCGGAGTGAGTATTGACTGGGCGGCTCCTGCGTGCAGATATCAGCGTGTGCTGGCACTGGGTGGGCGGGCGCCAGCGTGCCTGCGAGTGAGCGGGGGCTGGGTGCATGGGTGCGCACGGCCATGCTCCTGTCGCCCCTCTCAGAACACCCGGGGCCATTCAGAGGGCCTGCTTCCACCTAGTCCCACCCGCTTCCCTGTAGGCCTCCGAAGATTCACTGAAAAGCAGTGGACGAAAGGCAGATTAATAGGAGAAAGGGCACAAATGTATTTAATCACAGTTCTGTGTAGCACGGCAGCCTTCAAACTGAAGACCCAAAGATCGTGGAAACTGTCGTTTTTATGTTTAAGGTCAGCAAAGAGCGGACAGCACATGTAGAACTGTGATTGGCCTAAAGGGTGTGATCTGGTGCTGAGGGACTGGCTGGGTCCTCTCGGTCTCTCTGGGCAGCATTCTTCCTTCTGGCTGTGGGACAGGCCCTCTGGAATGGGGGTCTTATGACCTACAGTCACACAAAGTGGGTCAGAGAATTCCTTTATGGCCAGCTTTTACACAGAAGGGAGGGGCAGTTGGGCAGCGATTTAGTTTCATGGCTGGGTTCTGCTTTCTGTGACGCGCCTCGGGGGAGAGTGAGGGCGCAGATAGGAGGGCAGGGAAAATCAGAGGGAAAGTTCTGAAATCAAAGCGGTTAGCTGTCCATTGTTGGCGTGAACACAAAAGAAAGGAATGCCGGGCTGGAGATCACTGAGCACTGACTTTGCCAGCCGCCTGGCTCCGCGTGGGGGAGGCTAACCCCCAGACCAGGTTTTCATTCTGCTCAAGACTTAGCAGTGATTGCGTTTAACTGGAATACTAGTTTCTTTCCAAAAGGAGAATGTGAAATGCTTCATGCAAAAAGCTTTCTTTCTGTCTCTGACCAGGTTGGGGTCATTTTTCTCCCACCTTCCAGGCTTGGGCACTCTGGGCTGCTGGTGGCAGGGTCCCCTTTAAGCAGTGAGACGCTGTGGGGTTCTGGGCTGACAGGAAGCACAAAGCAGCGGTGCAGGGGGCTGCGGATCTGGGCAGATTCTGTCATGTTCCCGGGGCTCATGGCACCGAGAGCTGGGACTGAATGGCTCCTGCCGGCTCCAGGATGGACGCTGGTGGAACAAGGCTGATTTGGGAAAGAAAAGCTCTTCTTCCCTCAGCAAACAGCCCCCCAGTTTCAGCTCCCCTGCAATCATCTAACAACTGGTGTCCCCACCCAGGGCAGAGGGTGGGCCTGTGGGCAGCAGGATGGAGAAGGCAGGGCCTTGGCCCTCACTGGGGGCCCTGCCCTTAGGAGGCCCCAGGCTCCCCCTGGAGCTCCGGGCCCCTCTCCTGCTCCAGCATGGCCAGCCTGGCTGCTCCAGACATCTGGGCGCTGGCCAGAGGAGGAACTCGAATTGCAATTTTCCTGCACATTAACCTCGGCAAGAGGAGCCCCTGAAAGACAAAGGGGGCCCAGGTCATCCCCCCAGGGAGGTTCAGGCCACCCTAAACCAGGGGCATGGGCAGGCAGGAAGCATTTCCAGTGGGGTCAGGAGGTTTCAGGAAGACTATAAGGTGTGCAGAGGGGCAGGCAAGCCTTGGCCAGCCCAGCCTGCCCTGAACACGACATGTTGTGGGAGCGCCTCTGGATGTGGCTCTTCTGTTCCCTGGAGGCTGGGTCAGATGAGGTGTTCTGAGAAGGACGTCCACGCTCAGCAGACGAGGCCCCAGGCCCAGTGCGGAGCACAGGCCAAGCCACGTGGGTGCAGCAGGTTGGCCTGAGCCATCCAGGCCCTGCACTTGAGCCCTGGCGTTGGGAGCTCCCCAGCCAGAGAGGGGTGCCGTACGCACGGAGGAGGGAGAAGCAGGGAAGCTGGGAGGAAGACGGGTGCATGCTGGTGGGCTGGAGGGCCCTGGGCCCTGAACAGGGCTGGAGGGTGGAGTGGGTGTGGAGAGGGACCAAGGCCTGGAGGAGACAGTGCTGCGGACCATGGGACAGCAAAGGAACAGAGACACAAAGAATCGTCACTCTGGGGAAAGGAGAAGTTGGGGTGGGTTGGGGAGGGCCCTGCAGGCCGGCCTGCTCGGGCCCACGCGGATGTGACCCCAGCCACGCGTCAGAGACCCTGGGCAAGGAAGAGCTGGCTCTGTGGGGACCCCACCCACACCAACCAGCCCATTTCCAGGGCTGGCTGGCCCAGAGCTTCCCAGGTGACCGCAATGCGCAAGATCAACGGTCTGGGGGGTTTTCAGCCTGGAGACACAGGGTCAGACTTGCCATTTTGAGGCCCACTGGGCAGCTGGCATGGGAGGCTGGTGAGGCGCCACTGCCATGCCAATCAGCAGCCCCTGCCCCGAGAAGCTGGTGGAGGCCTCAGCAGGGAGTAGGGAAGCAGAGGAAGAGGAGGGGCCTCACTGCCCTCTGATGCAACCTCCACGCTTTGCAGAAGGGGAAACCAAGGCTCAGAGCAAGAAGGCAGGTCAACAGGCCTGGGTCCCTTCATGCCTGCCCACTTGCATGTCGATGCACAAACGGTTCCTGGTTCAAACCAGTTTTCCCCTTGATAATGTCTCAGACAAATATTTGACGAGGGAGGAGGTTGAGGGGTTGAGGAAGTGAGTTTCTCAGGGACCAGCTGAATGAGTGCCAGGGGTCACGCGCCACATGGCCGTGCGGGCAGGGGCCACGTCTCACCTGTGACAGAGGCCCTGAGACGCAGGGGTGGCCACTTGCTGACCTTTTTCTCCAGGCTGGACAGCTGGATGGTGCGGTCTCCCAGGCTCTCTTGCAGCCAGGAGGCCCACGCCACAGACCTGGTCAGGTGTCGCACTGAGGGCTACTCGAGGCTGCCCGGCTAATGCAAAGAGAAGGCCGTTAGCCCTACTGCCTTTGTCCTTCCTGAGACCTGGAAGTGACGTCCAGAGAAGCAGCAGCTATGTAGCAACCGCGGGGACGAGGCTGTGACAGATTCTTGCTGCTCGTGACTGAGAGAATCCCAACTGCGTATGTGTGTTTCTTAGGGACTGCTGTGACAGCACCACAAACTAGGTGGCTGAAAACAACTGAAATTTATTCTCTCACATTTATTCTGGAGCCTAGAAGAGTGAAATCAAGGCGTTGTCAGGGTCCGTTCCTTCTTGGGGCCTCAGAGGGAGAATCTGTCCCTTGCTTCTCTCCCCGCTCTGGTGGCTGCCGCCATCTTCGGCACTCTTGGCTTGCACCGCTGCGCTCCAAGGCTCCTCTGTTGTCACCCGCCGCCTTCCCTCTGTGTCTCCCTGTCTCAGGACACCAGCCATGATGAGTCGAGGGCCCACCTACTCCAGCACAGCCCATCTTATTACATTTGCTACGACCCTATTTCCAAATAAGGTCACATTCTGAGGTTCTGGGAAGGACACAAATTTTGGGGAGATATGTTCAACCCAGTACACTGGTGCAGAGCTCGGTTATGCCACCCAGTTCCTTGACGGTGAGCAGCCTGATATTGTAGAAGGACATAGGTCGGCTTCAGTTTGGTCCCTGGCTCTTTTTATTTGCTCCGTGGCACTTGGACAAGTTCTGTGACCTGTCAGAGGATTATCATTATTACTCCTGTGACCTGGTGATAATAACCGTTGCCCCGAGAGATGGGGACACTGAGAGGCGAACACGGCATGGAATGAACTGCAGCGAAGCGTGCGGAGCACCTGGGGTGTCAGGAGCCGTTGTTCCCAGCGCCTGCCCTCCATGCTCCGGCTGCCTTCTCCGTGCCAGGCGCCCTAAGGTGCGGTGCTGGGTCTGGTTCATCCTGTCCCTCAAGGAGCTGCCTCCAGTCTAGGACACTGAGAAGCAGCAGACAATGACAGTGGCATGCCAGAGGCTTGTGGGAGCCCCAAAGGGGACAAACCCAGCCAGGGAGGTCAGGGGGACTTCCCAGAAGAGGCGGGGTTCAGGTGAGACTTGAAGGAGCAGGTGTTAACTCCACAAAGGAGCTTATTTATTTATTTTGAGACAAGGTCTTGCTCTGTCACCCAGGCTAGAGTGCAGTGGCACAATCACAGCTCACTGCAACCTCCAACTCCTGGGCTCAAGTGATCCTCCTGGCGCAGCCTCCTCACTAGCTAGGACTACAGGTCCATGTCACCATGCCTAGTTAATTAAAAAAAAATTTTTTTTAGAGATGGTGTCTCACTATGTTGCCCAGGCTGGTTTTGTACTCCCAGACTCAAGTGTTCCTCCCCTCTCAGGCTCCTAGAGTGCTGGGATTACAGCCTGAGCTCCCATGTCCAGCCAGGGCTTTATTTAGATGACTGATCTTCAGAGTTCGCTCACCAAACCAGCAGCGTCAGAATCCCCCAAGTTAGAGACCTGGGGCAGGGCCCCCAGCTGCAGGGGAGGCTTGGAGAGAAACAGCGCACGCCTCTAGGTGGTTCTGACGGGCTTCAGTGTGAGGACCACTGGCTAGACGAAGGGAGGGCGCTCTCAGCAGAGGGAGGAGCCTGTGCAAAGGATGAGTTGGGAGAGATCACGGCAGGGGTGGTGGCAGAAGTTCCAAGGACAGAGCTTAGGCTGGCAGGGCTGGCAGGAAGCAGGGTAAGGAATTTGGGTGTTTCCTAGAGCTGGAGGTCTGCAATCTTGGGCCTCTGCGAGCGGAGTTGAGTGTGGAGCGGCTTCGGAGAGAGCAGTGAAATATTAAACGTTGGCAAAGGGCCGGATAGGAAAAAGGCGTCCACCTCTCAAAGATGTGGCAGGTTGGATAGTGACTCCTGACCACCTTTTTGGGCCAGAGTTTCATGTTCTGGAGCCCCCAGATTTGGGGAGCCCCACTGTTCCTACCCTCTGCTCACCCAAAGGCCTCCTCAAGACCACACCTTAATACATCTTTGTTGAGGTGATTTGTGAGTCAAGATTTGCAGGTGACCCTGCTCTTAATTCAAGGGTCTTTCCCCAAGTCAGTGCCTTTCTTCTCTGTGCTCGAAAGAATTGTTAGTGATTTCAAATTTTCTAACTAAGGAAGACTTAGAAAGACAGGAAGATAGTGCT